CAAGGTCACATCTACAGCTGTGCCACAGCTCTGGATCTGGAAAGTGTTCTGTGGGTAAAAGCAGGATGCTTAGATATAGAAAACACAATGCAGAGCACATTCCGAGCTATCCCCCTCACGTCCATTCCAGACATTTTGGGTACAGCCTCTAAACCTAGTGCTGAGGAGCTGCCAATCTGGATAACTGCTATAAACAGACCACCTCAACCAGGGGTATAGCCTGAGATCTTGATTTATATCACCAAGAAAAAAACAAGCTGTGTAGTGAGAATCTTGATTGAAGTCAACAAGAAAAAAAAATACCAAAAAGTTAGAAAGCTAGCAAAAATGAGATTTTTTTCAGCAGATCTGAAGAAAATGTGTTCCATTTTCTATGACACTGGGTAGAAGAGATGTTTTATGGGGACTGGCATACATTTTGTGTTTGTCAGTATCCAAACTTTCTGTAGGCAGAAGTGTATCCCAACTGTTTCTGCATTCCTGTGTCACTCAATGGCCAAGAAAGGAAACAGGGCTTGTTTCATTGTGGTCTCCAACATGGCTTTATTTTCTGTGGCAGTGTAGGTACATTGCTGCTTTAGAGAACTCACGTTCAGAAATAAGCAACCAAGTCTGTTTATTGGCAATATATACAGGTGAAACTCAAAAAATTAGAATATTGTGCAAAAGTTCATTTACAGTCAGGTCCATAAATATTGGGACATCGACACAATTCTAACATTTTTGGCTCTATACACCACCACGATGGATTTGAAATGAAACGAACAAGATGTGCTTTAACTGCAGACTGTCAGCTTTAATTTGAGGGTATTTACATCCAAATCAGGTGAACGGTGTAGGAATTACAACAGTTTGCATATGTGCCTCCCACTTGTTAAGGGACCAAAAGTAATGGGACAGAATAATCATAAATCAAACTTTCACTTTTTAATACTTGGTTGCAAATCCTTTGCGGTTAATTACAGCCTGAAGTCTGGAACGCATAGACATCACCAGACGCATTGGTTTCATCCCTGGTGATGCTCTGCCAGGCGTCTACTGCAACTGTCTTCAGTTCCTGCTTGTTCTTGGGGCATTTTCCCTTCAGTTTTGTCAATCGGATTCAGGTCAGGTGATTGACTGGGCCATTGCATAACATTCCACTTCTTTCCCTTAAAAAACTCTTTGGTTGCTTTTGCAGTATGCTTTGGGTCATTGTCCATCTGCACTGTGAAGCGGCGTCCAATGAGTTCTGAAGCATTTGGCTGAATATGAGCAGATAATATTGCCCAAAACACTTCAGAATTCATCCCGCTGCTTTTGTCAGCAGTCACATCATCAATAAATACAAGAGAAGCAGTTCCATTGGCAGCCATACATGCCCACACCATGACACTACCACCACCATGCTTCACTGATGAGGTGGTATGCTTAGGATCATGAGCAGTTCCTTTCCTTCTCCATACTCTTCTCTTCCCATCACTCTGGTACAAGTTGATCTTGGTCTCATCATACTGCAAAAGCAACCAAAGAGTTTTTTAAGGGAAAGAAGTGGAATGTTATGCAACTGACTAGCTGATTAGAGTGGGCACTTTGAGCCTAGAATATTGCGCCTTTTCACAATATTCTAATTTTCGGAGATTGTGGATTTGGTGTTTTCATGAGCTGTAAGCCATAATCATCACAATTATGACAAATCACGGCTTGAACTATCTTGCTTTGCATGTAATGAGTCTATCTCATATATTAGTTTCACCTTTTAAGTTGCATTACTGAAATAAATTAACTTTTGCACGATGTGTGTATATATATATATATATATATATATATATATATATATATATATATATATATATATATAGTGGAGGCAGAGCCGTTAAGAACTTATTTAATAATTATCATGAGTGTGATGTTTGTATCTATGGTATAGGGAACAATAGTAAGTATACCTGTCAAAACTACATGAGAATTTGGCCCTGCTACTTTTTTTGCATTTGTGTAAAATGATGCCATGACACTACCTCCTGACAATAATTACATTTGTGCATTTAGGACCTCAGTGCAGGCCTACAGTATACCACTGCACTGCTAATCCTTCTAAACAAGCAAAAGATATAAAAACATTACCTTGGCATAAGAAGCATGCTTTGGCAAAAAAAAAACCCCAAAAAATTACAGTAATGGCACTTCACATCTCTGTAGTCAAGAGGACAGTGAAATGTAATGTGCAAATAAAGAACCTTTATAAATACCATAGTTGTGGTAGAAGTTTAAATTGGTGTCAAAGCAGCTCTCTTACAGGATAATAAGCTATATGATGATATGATCAGCTACAGTTACTTTCCCCAGCCTGGACAGGATGAGTGACGTTCAGTCCGCTGTCAGCTGAAAACTGGTCACAAGAGTACAGAACGAACTGCACTCCTGTGATCCACAGACGTAGTACAGCTAAAAAAAACCTGTACTTCTCCTTTAAAGTAGCACACAGACTGCAAAAAAATATGTTTTTCTATATACTTTGCACATTAGTACTCTAAGTTTCATTTCTGCATGTGTGGACGGGTACATCAAAGTAATGTTAAGTAGCGGCAGTCCTGACAATATTATGTATACATGTTTTTTTCCAGACTGCAGCGCTCTTAAATGTATTCTCAGACATGGCTGTCTGCTGATACAGGAACAGCACAGTTTGGATCAGACACAGTACTGCAAACAAACCTTGGTCTGATTATAAAGCAGGTATCTCACAGATAGAGTGTGCTCTGCTCCTGCTGGACATCACCTTTGCCTAATTTTGGATGAGCACGGATAGAGTGAAGGGTCCCCTGAGCAGCCACCCCCACCCTGGGGATGGGCTGCGTACTGACAGGAGGCCAAAACCATTTAACATCTCATCAGGCAGCATGGCGGTCCGGTTGTCACCGTGGCAACGCCGGGGCTCAATTTCACAAATGTCACATTGCGTTAACATCTTCACACTGCCCCACAACCCTGGGATTAACCCCTGCCAGTCTGCAGAGGAGTGTGTAGTCTACAAACAGTAACTCGTTGGTTCTCAATACACAGGATGTTTTAACACTTGAATGGTTTAAACAAAATATATTCTTCATAAACATCTGGATTTTTGCTTTCTGGATTCAGTTACAAACTGTAATCCCTGTTCAAAAACCTATAAGTACTGTGACCAAGCACCTTTTTTGTAGAACTTTTAGACTACTTGCAAAACTGTATTCTTCTTGAAGTTCCCACTGCCCATACTGATTGGGTTAATCCCCTTCTTATCAGATTTCCAGAACAAGCTATTTGTACTGAAACAGCATCAAGATCAGATATATATAAAAAGTGACTTTTATTTAAACAAAATGCAACCCGGGTCTGCACTTCTTAGCTTAAATATGATTAATAGGGCATAGGCTTCTGTCACCTCTTTTTCCAGTTTCAGATCCTGGAATCTGTCAAGTGCCATAATGCACCAGAAATCCATTGGCTCACTTTGGTTCACAAGTCTAATATAAAATAGGCAATAGGCTTTTGGGTGAAGCGTTTTCATTGTGTGATTGTCACAATAGTCTTTGCAGGTTGGATATTAAAAAAAAAAAAATAAAGTAGAAAAAATATAAAACAGGTATTGTGCATTGCCATGTGTTGTGAGCACAACTGTGCTCTTTGAGAACACTGCAAAACTATATAATTTCCTTGCGTAAAAAGCAAGCACAGAAGTGTCCCATTGATTCCAGAAGTCCAGCAGTCAAAGGTCCATCAATGTTCTAAAAAAGCTTTGTCACAGGAGCTCAGAGTCACCTCTTAAACAGGTGTAATTTGAATGATGACAGACTCTAAAGAATTAGTTCGCAGAACCTAAGTGGGGAAAAAGGAGGACCACAGTTAACCCAGACAGCAAAGAAAAATCAGCTCAATAGCAGCAAAGCCTAAGGCTATCAACTGTGCTTAGCTGTGCAGAGGCTTGTCTGCAAATCAAGCAGCTTGCTATATACACTGTGTTGACTGCTGTAATAGCATACTAGAAAATGGCTCTGTATATTACAGTCACAAAAAGTACTGGTAAAAATTTGTGTCCCTCCTATGAATAAATAATAACAAAGAAAAAATAGAAACAGCATTGGGAGAGGCAGTTAGAAGACAGCCAAAAAGCAACAGAAATTAAATCACCTACATAAGACAGAAAGAGGGGAATTAAGGGGACGAAGAAAAGGATATTTAACATATAAAATTGGGATTAGGTCTAGAAAAGGGTTGTGGATATGAGAGGATGGGGAGATGCTCATGCTAGCAAAGAAGGAGAGAGAAAACACAAACACTGGACAGACTGGGCATCCGGAGGAGGGAGGCTGCACTTGGAAAAGAAGGGGGAGAGGAGCCCATCTGGCCACAGTGTTACACAGAGATTGCTGGTATTAAAGGTTCTCTCGGCTGAGTGGAATCAGGGGACGGCTGGTAATGAGATGACAAAACGCTGGCAGTCTGGGAGGAGCGGCTCTGTCACAGCGCTGCGCGCTCAGCTGGGTCATTTGTAAGTGTCAATCACATGGTGCCCAGGGGGAAGAGAAGGGGGGCATCATCCTACTTCATCTGTTCCAGCATAAAGCTCTAGCTGAACCAGGTTTTCCCAGCTACCTGCAGTATCTACAGTCACCACCTGTCAGCATGTGTACACATGAAGACAGAGCACTTTAACTGCTTAACAATATGGATTTGAATACATATATGAGGAAGTACATGTGCTATAGCAAAAAATATCTGTTTGTGTCTATGATCTACATGCAAGCATTTACGCCATGTCCTAATTATCTGTTGGTTCAGTCTATAAAATGCTGAACATGCACTATATTTGGTGGTACAGAGAATAACAGTCTATTCAGACAAATTACATGAAGTCTAGATCTGAAGAAGAGTATATTTTGGGAAAAGCACAGTTCCCCCTGCTGACTTTGTTTTACTATCTAAATATTGTCTAGGTAGCTCTAATGTTCAGTGGGACCTGAGACCATAATCCTTACGTATTATTCATCCAGATCATCTGGCTGTATGCTCTCCATGAAATCCTCCATCACCGCAGAAGCTTTGCTTTTCTTTTTTTGGAGGACCTGTGTGAAGAAAAGGAGCAAAGAGGACGAGGTGCAAATTAGCGTTATGGCAAAATGGCATGTGCAATGTCAAGAAGTCAGATGTGCAATGCTAATAATCCTGATTGTTTAATCAACAAGGGATATAGTGAACATACAATATTAGGTTACATTAGTAAAATATTTTCAAAATGGCAGAAATTACTTGCAGCTTTTTTACACTCACACCTTAACGGAATATTATGAACTTGGCCAAAGAAAGGTGTTTAAGTGAATGGTAACTTCCTAGATGAGTGGCACACTAGTATTCCCCAAATCCCCTGCATTATTTCTCACTGTTGCCCTGCTGTCTTCTCCGGGGAAGTTCCATCCTTAGAGGATGGAGTGGGAGGCCCCACTGACTGACATGTTTACAGAATGCAGAAAACTAGTCAATACTAATTAACCTGCTAGGAGACACAGTTGCTGACAGTGAAAGCGAAGGAGGGGGGAGAAAAAGACAGAAAAGGAGGAGGAGGAGGAGAGAAGTAGTGAAAGAATTAGGAAGTTAGGGAAAAATGGTGAAACAAAAAAAACCATACGGGTTTAAAAAGAATTATTAAAAAGTGGAAAGAAACTGAACAAGGAAAAAACAGACAAGACTTTTTTGGTTGAAATTTTGGTGGATGTCAAGTGAACTCTAATGCTATGTGAAAGAAAAATGGAAGTATAAAAAGTGGGTGACAAACTGTGGGAAACCATATAGAGAGAAGTATTGTTTAAATGAATGAGGTGGGATGATGTACGTTGAGCTATATGCAGAAATTTGCATGAACCTGCAGACACCCACATGCAGACTTCAAAAGTATTAATAATTAGCAATGTGGAAAACTGGAGAATGGTTAGAAACCAGAAAAAAAATAAGTGATTTAATAGCATGGACATCTACAAGCACTGTACAGGGGACATGAAAACACAAAGCAGCAATTTCAGTCTGGATTGAAATACAAAATCAGGGAGAGATGCTCTGTGTTGTCTTTCACTGAACTTTTGATACATGCAAAATGAATTTTGTGTGGGGATCAAAGATTGTTGATAAAGGACACTGTTGACTGCAAATGTTCATTAATATCTCATTCTGCACATTATTCATTTGGAAGGACTGTGTTTGCAGGTTCCACTGTGTTTGTACAAGAGCCATGGGCAGCACTATTCATTTGATTATAATCTCTTGTTCGATACATGGCAAGGGTCAATACACATTGGCTTACATTAAAGGACTACTAATATGCTCACAAATATGAATAGAAAACATCTCCAAAGCTTGTCATAATAGAACAGACGTGAAGTAACAATCTGATCTGAAAAAAGACACTGACTGGCATACATCAAACTAGTTGATACCAATAGAGTTTTCTACTTAAAGGATAAGTTCACCTTTAAGAAAAAAAATAATAAAAATGCACATTTTTTTGCAGGTAAAAAAATGTGCATTTGTTATTTTTGTCTGCAGGAGCCTGTAAACCATTGCACCAGCAATCAGTAGATCGCTGGTGCCATGCAAGTCTCCTGCAGATCTGTCAGTTTATCTGCTTGCTAGAACAGGATGCAAGCAGATATACTGACAGGAAGAATGAATGAACGGTGAAGCGCCGTGGTAGCTAATTAAGGACTATAAGCTGACCAGCTGTGGAGACTTGTAGTCTCTCATTCACAGTTGACTGTGAATGAGCGATACAGCTGTGGGGGCGGAGCCCCACACAGCCACGTTTTTAAAAAATTTGACAGCTAGCGAGTGGGGAGAAGATCCCCCGCTAGCTGTCAAAGCAGGGATTGGGGGGAAAGGGGGAGGCAGTCTGATTGTAACATGTTACACCTTGAATATGGGTGTAACAGGTAACGTGTTACGAAAGGTGAACTTATCCTTTAACATGGATTCTCTTATCCAGTAAGGTATACATCTGAATAAACTTTATGCAGTACCTGATTGGATAAACCAAATGAATAGGGTAAAAATGATTTGATAGTTGAATATTTCACATTTTGTGTTGTTGCCTGGCAGAGTATATATAAATTTACAGATTTTATTTGCAGCCATAAAATCAAAACAAAAACTGTATTTTAGGTTCCCTTACCTTTTAATTAGTTTATCACATGCTGCAGTACATCTAACAGTATTAGCAAATTATAGATAAGTATTTAATCATTTTACTGCCACTGACATAAGTTATTTATATCGGAATAGAACTGCTTGCAGCAAGCCAGCACAGTAACCCTTACGTTCATTGCATTACCTAAGGCTGTAAAGTTCAAGTCACAGAAGCTCACACCCAAGTGCTGCCTTAAAATTTGCTCTCATGTAAATGGATATGATCAGTGGCTAACAAGCCCATGATCACATCTACAAAATCTGTAAATGTGGCGGCTCCTGTATTCAGCTATGTTATGACTTCTGATCACATTTATAGTACTGCACCCAGTTTCCCTCTCCACCCCTGTCACTTTACAGACCATGTCCCCATCCTATGCTCCAGCACATGTTCCTCTCCAGCCTGTGTTCCCTTCCGGTGTTTTCCCCCTGTGCTCCAAGCAGTGTGGTGCTCTTCATTCGCCATCATACAAGCTCACCGATTGCACTACAGTTAGTGAGCTTGCAGGCTAAAAGAGGTGCCCAGCTCTACCAAAGTAATCCAGCAGCCGAATGCCTGTGGATCATGTTAACATCCTTGCACCTGAGAAAAGCACGACTTTTTTTGTCAGGCTGCTGTGCTTTGCTCTGTAAATATGATTTGGTAGCTGTCATATTCACAGCATCTCTGCCCAGCTGTAAAAAACCTCCCCAATTGCCATCTTGAAAGTGTCATTCATGGGACTGGCATCGTAAGCTAGGGGAAATCAGCAAACTTGTCTTATGTTCACTAATCTCCTTTAGTTTAATTAAACATATAAATGCTCATTTATGAGCAATACTGGTTTTAATACTGGGCAACAGCAGAGAAGCATTCCTGCCCCTTTCCACCTCCTGCTGCTTCCCTTGGCTCTTAATGGCAATTCCCAGCTGTCATTTGAACAGCTGGGACTTGCAGGAAGCAGCTGCTGTCAAACGCCTCTGAGAAGTGTTTGTAAACACTGCTCAGATGCAATTCAGAAGAAATACATGTAACAATATTTAGTCTTTCACCTTCTTTTTCTCTAGTCACACCATCTTCTCCTTACAACCAAGATTGAGCATATTACGATTTGGTAGCAGTTCAGACATATCAGATCTCTGCCACCTACAATACATACCCTCTGGTCTTACATCATTCACTGGAAACTATGAAGGCAATTATAAATATTCCAATATTATTCTTATATAGCTGTATACCAAGCTAGATATATTTACGACTTCTCTTATACTTTACTATCCCCAAAGTTGCTCCAGTAAGGTTTCTCTGAGCTTGTCCCCCAGGGTCCTGATGGTATGGTCCCGTCAAGTCTGGATCACTGAATGTGACTGCAGTGAGTACCTCAACCTAAATATCTTGGTTATATGTTAAATGTGTATTATTGGATTTGGTAATGTACAAATTTCGCATTTATTGTACAGTATATATGAATATTTGTTTTCTATATATTTAAACAGATACTGTACTCTCCTGAGTCCTGCTGAAGAAGTGGACATCAGCCCTGTGAGACGTGCTGAGGGTCATGGGATACCCTTAATATGAAATAAAATATATACAGATGAATAGCATGGTCTAATTTGATATAACATTAAATGTGGAACGCCAACATGGGGATCCCAGAACAAGAAGGGAATTGAAGAAATTGAAAAAAAAGGCAATATTTCACTTTCACTTCCAATTTATGTGCTTTTTTTATACTTTGTGAACGAAAATCTTATATAATTTTAACTAGTTAGTCTGTAATCTTTAAGCACCTTAAAAGTACAAATATTTCACAAGGTATTTAGCCCTGATATTTCAGCTGCCTGCAGGTTTCCTTGAGCCTTTTTACTAACAACAACATACTAAATAAATAAATGTGGGGATTAATTATGATTGTGCAATGTTCAAATGCAGACTTAATGGTGCCCATATCAATAGTTTAAGTACAACTCTCTTCAAGAGCCTCTCTATGGTTTTTATTGCTGTCTACTGTATGTCCCCACCGGGGTGATGGAGCTTCAATGTTTGTCCTTGACCATTGTCAATGGGTGAGAAATTGAGGCGGGGGGGATGAAACATATTTCAGTTGTCACTGGATCAGAATAAAGGAGTACTTTCCACTGGGAATATTTGTTGCAGCAATACCTACATTAGATAGGATTATGCTTCAATTTGGGGAAATTTCTAATTACTTCCGGTTTTGTTTCTGTGGAGAAGCGGTGCTTGATGGGGTCACAGGTAGCAAAAATACCTGACAGAAGTTTTATCCTTTTCTAACAGGCTGGAATACATATAAAACACTCAAATAACCAAAAAATTCTGTGGTATTAGTTTGTATTTTGACTAAATATGTAAGTGCATCACCTGCACCAAGAACCATCATGACTGGCTACTATGGCACTCATTGTTTTTTTTATTTTAGCATATTACAAAAATCAGTTATTTGACTGCACTAAGAAAATATCAAGCATATCTCATGTATAAACGGTCATGTCATGCAGGCATTTTTATGGTGGTTTTGAAGCAAACATGACAAAACACAATGTGGTTGAACAGTATCTGTAGATCTGCATGTAATGAAAGTGAACCTATGAGGACAGACATAAGGGAGGCTCCTGGACTGTCATCCAGATCCTAGCTTCATAACTTACTGAGTGATGAACATGAAGCAAGCATGCAGGTAAGTTTGAATATACACTAGAGTGCTTGTTTCATGTCAGTGACTTACTACCTAATAAACCAAAAAAAATCATAATATATATATATATATATATATATATATATATATATATATATACACACACACACACACACATACACACACACACACACACACACACACACACACACACAAATATACAGTGAAGGAGATAAGTACTTGATCCCCTGCTG